TTCTTGCATCAGAGATCTTCACGATGAAGGGTGAACTGGGGGAAAAACATGGTGAACATATAGGGCTTGTGGGTCCTGTACTTCTACACCACCCCTAGGTTGGTGTCTTGAGAAGGTGGAGGGGCTAAAAGCGCTCACACATACACACACTCACACACACACACACACACACACACACGCACACAGTACTTATAGTTTTAGGTGGGAGCAGCCTCAGCTTGTCTCTCAGAAAGGTGTAAGAAAAGCAGAAACTTTCATCTTCCCCTAAGTGTGCTTGAACATCGTGGAAGGTTCATCTGCTCTGAAAGGACTTTGAATCAGCAAAAAAGGACAACTCAGAATATACCTGTGAGCTGATGGCAAAGTTTCAAAAGAAAAATGATGTTACTATAGATGCCAAAATAAATGACATCAAATATCAGTTGAACTATTTTAATGCAATATGAGGTGAAGAGGAACAAATGCTCAAATACTTGAAATAGTTCTGCTCTCCTAATGGAAAAATAATAGCATATACTGAGTTTTTACTATGTGTCAGGCACTGTAAGCATCCCATGTATATTAACTTGTTTAATTCTCACAAATACTTATTAACTTATCTAATTTTCACAACTACTACATGTGATAGATAAGTATTATTATAATTCTAATCTCAGAGAAAGCAACAATTCATCAAGAAGTATGTACTGCTTTTAGATTATATCATTTATAAGTGGGGAAGCTGGAATGGGAACTTAAAGCAGAAACTAAGATTCAGTTTGAAATAATAAATTGAATATAGCTGTTTTATGGATTTGTGTGTGCATAATCTATGGATACAACAAACATAATGTATATATATGTGTAAAAACATCACTGGGACTCCACTGATTGTCCCTGGCTGAAATGGTTTGTGTAGCACCCCCTCAGTCTTTTATTTCCTATAGCTGTTTTTTGTATTCCTGAGTCAGGCTGACTCTCAACTTCAACTACAGCTTACAACTGCCAAGTCACATCAACTCAAAGGAAGATACTTTAAAGGTCCAATTTCTCTGATGAGCCATATGTGGCAGAGAAAGGAAAATGACTATACCACCTCACCAACACACACACACACACACAAATCAGGAAAAGGAAAAAAAAACTTTTAACTTTTTTCCTACATACAATTGCAGAAATAACATTTTGAAAAGACCTAAGAAAACAGGAAATTGCTTTTATCTCATTGTGCTCCATCATGAACCAAGGATCATATCTATGTTGAAAAATACCCAGAGAAACAATAGGAATGACTTTGATTTTCAGAATCATATATCCATTTTTGCCATGCAGAAATCATTATGTTTTTGATTTCATAAAATGTTTTGGATAACAATTTTTGTATAAATAATTCAGAGAAAAAACATTTAAGGGATAACTTCAAATTGCTTTTGTACTTGAGGGTTGAGGTAACCTTACATAGAATAAACAGTTTCAATGTATTTGTTATAATGTCACTTTTTATAGCTCTTTATTTAAGTAACACTCAAGTATGGCAACATAATAGCCCTGAGAAATACACAATTCAAACTGTGTAGAAAGTAAATTTTATGAGCTGAACTGACAAATACATAACTCACTAGAACAAAGATGGCATTTACTTATCTGGGAGCTATTTCTTCCAATTTTCAATACCTGTGCACTATGAGAATAACATTATTCTAAAATCACAAAAATTGAAATACATACCAGAGGCCCCTTCATATTGACAATGAAATTCACCAAATGGCACTGTAAGTCCGGGGAAAGGAAATGCCGGGGCAAAATACCTCTAAAAACCAAAATCAGTCCAAGGGAGAAATAAAGTTTAAAACCCACTTATTGCTCACAAACTGCAGCCTCAGGCTGTCTTTCTTCTCTGCTCAAGCAGACACAACACTGGCCCTCCCCCTCACCTCTCAGGTACAGATAAGCCCTCTGTTGCCCAGATAATTGCCCATTGATATGGAAATGAACTTCTCTACCACCGAGGAAAGATGCAAATGCACTAAAGCCATACTTCTCTCCACCTCTGAATGCCTGTTGATATGCAGATGTACCAAAGCCAGGCGAGATATTCTGGAAATACTACAATTTTACCCACAATCCACCCCTACAGAAATCTCGCCTTACAATTTACTTGATTACCCTCTTCCGACCAATCTAGTAACATGCAATAGCAACAGCAATAAAATCTTGATAATCCTCAAGCCAGAGGATTCAGCCTAAGCAGATTAAGTAAATGTACTTTACAGCACAATCTCTCACTAAGCACAAAATACGTTTCTACACTTGTTTATTCATTCCTAACAATCATGCTAGATTGCTCACAAAACTTTTACCAAACATTAGACAAAGTCAAGCCTCCCTTTAAACATTATTTTTTTGACAACAGCAACACAATCATAATTCTCAAGCTAGAGGATTCAGCTAGGTTCAAAGTCCCATGCAGATGAAGTTCAAAGCTCATCCATTCCAGCCATCACGCAGCAGCTGCAGCCAGGGGGTGCATCCAGGACACAAAGACCACAGAAGCAAATAACCGTGATTGTTGGGGGGGCCAATTTACTGTTATTATAGGAATACACAGAAGGCCAGCTTCCAGGCCTTTTCCCCAAGGTGCCAGAAGAGTCAGCCATTGCCGATCCATGTGTCGAAATGTCCAGGGCCACATCCATTTTACTCCTAATTGCTGCACCCATCCTTGCAATGCATGTCCAATAAAGTGGGTACCTTTATCGCTCTCAGTAACCAGCAACTGACCATAGGCTGCAGAGAGACGCTCTAGGCCCCTCTTGGTGGTTTGCTGATCTTCACAACATGCAGGGCACTCCTTCCGGGCTCGTCTGACTTCTTCAAAGGTGAAAGGCAAGCCCCACCGATGGGCCCTCATTGTCTTTTGAGGTGTCTGTGCCACACCACTCCATGGCCTTTGGGTCCAGTCTTGCACCCACCCCACGATGGGATAGGAGGTTATTACCTTGGTCGGAGCTGTTCCGGCGATGGGCTCTGTAGCCAGCAAGGCATGGTACACAGCAGCAAGTTGCTTCAAGGTGACCTGGACCTCTGCTCCTTCCCACGGTTGTGGTCAGGCTCCGGCCAGCAGCAAGAGCAGTAGCAGTGGTAGAAACAGTAGCCTTAGGCTCGGGCCACAGGCCAGGGTCAGTGTGGTCAACAGTGGTGGTGGTGCCTCCACAACCACACGAGTGTAGACGCATGTCCCTCGGCGTGAGTGCCACTTCTCCCCATCCTTTCTAGGGGTGGCCCTCCTAAAGGTCACACCCATTATAACAGATTTCGGGTTCACGGGAATCCTGCCGACTATGCCAACTGTAAGTCTGGGGAAAGGAAATCCCAGGGTAAAATACCTCTAAAAACTAAAATCAGTCCAAGGGAGAAATTAAGTTTAAAACCCGTTTATTGCTCACAAACTTCAGTCCCAGGTCGTCTTTCTTCTCTGTTCAAGCAGACACAACACTGGTCCTCCCCCTCATCTCTCAGGTACAGATAAACCCTCTGTTGCCCAGATAATTGCCCATTGATATGGAGATGAACTTCTCCACCCCTGAGGAAAGATGCAAATGCACTAAAGCCATACTTCTCTCCACCTCTGAACGCCTATTGATATGCAGATGTACCAAAGCCAGGTGAGATATTCTGGAAATACTACAATTTTACCCACAGGTACATATATAGAATTTGTTGTAATTCATTTTGAGTTTGCAGAGAGGTTTGTATTCTTGTGCAAAAGGTGATTGAATGAAAGGATGGTAGGATAAACTCTTAAGGAAAAAAATTAAAAATTATTTTCCACAATGGTCTTCTACAGCTTTGTCATCATGAATAAAATTCAGTGAAATTTCCAATATCTCTGTTAAATAAAGATTTTTAGTTTGATGACTTCCATGTCTCTTTTGACTCTAGCTAGAATGCATATAGGAAATTATCATCTTTTTAAAAAAATTTTTTTCACTTAGGAGGCATAAAACATCAGACATGTGTTAGAAAGTTAAGAAATACATTGAAATTATTCTAAACTGAGGTGAATTTGAAATATAAGCAAGGGAGGTACTGAGGAATAAGGAGGCAATTAGGGATAGTGCAGCATCATCAGGTTGGAAGATTTGTTGAGATAACTTTTAATTTTTGTTGTTTGATTTTCTCCACTTGCATTATACAGATTGAAAGCTCAGAAGTAGACAGAATAAATCTCTAATACTTCTTTCAAATGTGTTAACAGAATTATGCATTAACCGGTGGCTTCCTTTCCCTCAGTTTCATAAAGGCTCATTCTACCTGGTAAGGTGTTATCTGATCCGCTGGCTGCAGGCTCCGCAGCCTGGATCATTGTGCATTTAACTTAACAAAGAATGCAATGGAAAGAATCCTTTATGTTCTAGCATGATATCACTTTCTAAGTAAAGAAAATATTAAGATATTTATTGAATATTTATTGTATGATAGGTTCTATTCTAACATTTCACTGGTTATAAACTTGGGCAGAGAAATAAGGTAGACAGTTTCAAAACCTTTCCCAAGAGAAGACAGTAACCTTGAATTCAAATCCCAGCAGTCTGGCTCCAAACCCAAGCATTCCTAAAACATAATTTTTTCCCCACTGTAGACACCGTGTAATCTGAATAACTATCTACAAACATTGAGTGGATGTACAATAGCTCTTAAAGAGAAAACAAATTATGAATTTGCTTGAGTATGCATAAAATATCATGGAGATATATATAGAAACTGACAACAGTAAATGCTTCTGGGGTTAGAACTTGGGTAACTAAAGGATAGTTTACCTTTAAAGTAAGGTACTGTAAGGATTTTTCTGTGTATATCCTTCTGGAAGTTTTGCATTTTGAAATATCTAGACACTTTACTTTCACAAAGATGAATAAATAAAAATTAAGAAGAAAAAAAAATTGTTAAGATTCAGTAGATTCTATCATGTGAAGGGCAATTATAAATCCAACATTAAAAAGAAATGTAGACATCCTTGGGAAATTCAACATTTTATTTTGCAAGGCAAAGGATTTCTTCGATTTCCAATTAAACATTAATGTGCTAACTACCTTTAGTTTGTTTTCTTACACAGAGTGAACATTCACCGTAATGACAGTTTCATCATGCTAAAATCTATTCACAAACCTACACTTTGAAAAAAAGTGCGCTTCTAGGTAATTTTACGTACAGTTCATTTGAAAACAATGAAAGTCATTGAATTGTGAAACTACACAAAACAAAACCAATCAGCCACCAACATTCAGTATACATAAACAGTATTTTTGAAAAAGAAAATTTTCTTTCTATTTGGCAGTTATGTTCAGGAAGGATTTCTGTAATTTTTAAATAAGTAATAGAAGTATATACAATAATAAAGTTCAAAGGAGGACGTATTAAATAGCACAAATACTTTTACAAAACCAACACCTTTACTGTCTTTCAGTTTGGGTTCACATGAAGCAAGGGGACCTGTGTAGTTTATCCTATCCTCTGACTCTAAAACAATTTTATTTTCAACTTTGTTACATAGAATAGATTGGCCAAAAACACAGGTGATTTTGGCATTGACACACCTTTCTATTTGTGTGTGTAAAGGAGAAATAAAGAAGTTTAATTACATCCTTGAAGCCTGCAAACTATTTGTACACTAAACTGCTTTAGAATCATACACATTTGGAACAATAGCTCTTGTTAGTAGCTTTTTTAATTGAATGAACATTATTTATGTCATATATTTAACTGCTATGTTTGCTCCATTGTGGCCTCCTCTTATATTATCATAATTTATCACTTAAATAATAAATTGTATTCTTAGTTCCTGATCAATGATCACATTCATTTTGACCATGATTTTAGTTATTGAAGAAAGATACTGCAGTGCTTAAAAAAGGTGATATATCTACCTTATGTTCTTAAGGGATTGTCAGCTAAACAATAACAATAATTAAAATAAAACATTTATAGTAGATTTTGATATGGTAAATGATGAATTTTCTGTTTGCATTCAGTAACATGAAATGTCTTTCAAAGTAAATAAAATGAAAGTGGAAAAGTTGTGTTTTTAAACTAAGTATGAGAATATGAAGAAACTTTTCACATTTCTTCCATATAATTATTTGGAGTAAAAAACTCAATATTAAATTATCCTACTAAAACAATCCAAACATATAATTACAAGACAATTATTTTATTCATCACAAAACTTACCACATTTGTATTTATATACCAGTGATCATAATGTACCATTCTCTTAAAGAAAATATGTCTATTTTTGGTTATATGAGAATTGTCTTTCTCCACAAAATGAGCACTCCTGCATACACTAAATATCACTAAAGAAGAATTGGTGAAATAAAAATCAGTATGAGGCTGGTAAATAAACAAAAAAGTGAGATTTAGTCATTGAAATTAATTATTGAAGTTAAAAACTGGCCACTTCTTAAATAAAATTCTCTTAAAATTACTTTTAATACTTTGTTTTTTCTTTTTTCCTCATTTTGATAGCTTTAGCCCTCATATACAAGTTTGATACTTCAAAATTTTTTTCTTCTTATATTGTTTAATTTGAAATACCAACTAGAAAAATAGAACAAAGACAATGATCAATTAAACAGTGTAAGATTATATTCTCTGAGTTTAGAATATCTTAAATAACTTCCAAAAAAAAGAAAGTGCTTTTATTTGGAAGATAGTAACATAAGAATATAAACTTCAGTGTTCAACTGATATAACTCCAATTCAAGATGCTTATGGTTGAAGGTCATTCATTTTTGTCTTCCTAAAAAAGGAAACATATAAACTCATTTTCTCTTTATTAATCACTCATGTCTTATAGGCTTTTAGAAGCTCTCTCCCTTAACTTGTACCTATTCTAGCATTGTACCTAACTTAGCATTTGTTTTCACATATAGAATCATTGACAATTAAACATCAAAACCCCTACAGCAAGAAAGGAAGATCACAGGTTATGACCCTCACTCAGTTAAGGGATGTAACAATTCTAGTTTTATAGCCCCATATAGATTTTGAAGACACAGTAAACAATGATATAAATAAAATCTGGGTTAAGTTAAATATTTATATGCACCATGAGGACCATGACATGTCTAGTGCTAGTCAATATCATACAAGAAGATGAATGCTCATTTCAGTTCATGTAATACTCACTTTAGGGTGAGTAACCACCTTTCTCAGGAATTTCTGTGGGTGAAGCACAAGGTTCTCTGCTCAAAAATTTGATCATTGAAGACAAACCATTCTTACAGGAAGCATAAATGCTGTGTAAGAAAACATTATGACTCTGGCAACTGATTCCTCCTGTTTCTGCTTTTCCGGCTATTGATGAGAGCCTTTAACTTGCCATAGTCCCCTCTCAGCTTGTGGGATTCCTCTCCTTGATGCTGCTGCTGCCGGGTGTCTTTGCAATACTGATTGATTATCTGCATTTCTGAGTGGCTGAACGCTCCCATGATGTCCTTGGGGTGGAAAGGCAAAGCCCTCACAGAGCTGGCCCAGGTCCACGGGGACCATTTGTCTGTCACAACAGCCACCATTTCGGAATCTAAAACTTTAAAGTTGATCTTGGCTATGGTCTGCTTGAAGCTGTTTTCGGTTGCAATGCAGTGATACAGTCCCTGATCAGAATCCTGAACGGAGCGGATCAGGAGTCCTTGTGAAGTGGCTATGATTCGTTCATTCAGTTTGACCTAAAAGAGAGACTCATCAAAGCCCTGAAAGCCCAACTCTGCATGTGCTAAAAAGATATGACCAACGTAAACAGTACAGTTGAATTGAGCAAATTTGATAAAATCATTTTGTCAGAAGTACTAATTACTTCCTCCTTAGTGGACACAAATTTTTGGTCAGTCTCATTGCTTTTTTATACATAGAAGATCTTGTCTCAAGGGTACTGAACCTACTGAAGAGAAGGTGAAATTACCTGAATTGCCTTAAGGTGCATTCCCTTTGGATAGAAGTAGTTTCTCCATGTCAAGTACATTTTTGGTTGCTTTTAGTATGTAAATCCCAGTCAACATGTATAAATGAAATTCACAGATAATCTAAAATATATATTTCATCCTGGAGTTCTTGCTTTTTATTGTAACAAAAATACTTAGTAAAATCATGAAGCCACAATTCAAGGGTTGAATCTTACCTTTCCTCAAATGAACTAATGTTCTCCTAACTGAAAGTTATAAAAGAAAAGGCAGATTTCTGAACATATCAAGGGCCTCTTCCAATTGTCTCAAACTAAAGAAAGACTAAAAATAAGCTGGGATGTTTTGCTTTAGATTTCTAAGTGGTTTTACTTTCCAAAGAAAGGTAATTATACATTTTAATTACTTTACAGGCTTATACTAGAAAACTGCTATTTGCTAGATATTAGTTAAATGCTTACAACCCATCTTCCTTATAGTTACAGCTATAATATTGTCAAAGAACTAAAAATCTAAGTGGTAAGAAAGAAGTTCTTTGACATAAATACTCTGGAATGTTATTTCACTGAGGAAAAAAGAAATTTGACCCAAATCAAAAAAGGAATGCATGTGAAATGTTTTTCTAAATGGTAAATTAAAGTGATTATTAATGAAATAAAAATTGAAGATAAATTGTTCTAGATAAAAAATAACGCACACACAGAAACAGAAAAAATAAAGTATAATATTGGAATACAGACAACAGAACAGAACTAGAAAAGACTGATTAGGAGGAAATAAGGACTGAAATATATAAAGCAAAGTTTTGATATTAGCTTAAGTTTCAAAGTTTAGATGCACCTCAAAAATAGTTTAAATAAGGTAGAAATACATTCAGGAGTAAAAGAAAGGAAAGCCTTCCTACCTATGCAAAATTGGGGAAAATATCTGGGGGTCAGTTTGGTAATAACCATACAACATATACATGATATTGGTGCAAAAATATCATTTCCAGGAACTTTGTATAGAAGACATACTCTCAGAAACATACATACATTCATTTGTAGGATGTTTTTGATATAAGGAAAAATAAGAAATCACCTAACCAATAGACAGCTTTAAAAAACTTAAGGTATAGTCAAGCAGTTGAATACTATACAGCCAAGAAAAAGTGTGTGTGTGTGTGTGTGACAGAGAGAGAGACAGAGTGAAGAAGAGAGGAAAGTAGGAAAATTATGGAAAATATATAATACTTGGTAGCTTTATAATCTGGTAAGTGTGAACAAGTACCAAACAAAGTAGAGGGGAGAAAGACTTTTACTTATCACCCTATGCTATTCAGTATGAACTATTCTCATTTTCTCTGTAAGTTTTTACTATTTGTTTTACTCTTTTTAAAAGAATTTCAGTATATATCATTAATATGAGATAAAAGTGTATATTTGCCTAAAATACTAAGGAAGAGTTAGGATAAATTTAATATAGTATTAATGGTTTATTCAACTAAATTAAAAATGAGTGGAATTGTGCTGTGATTAAATTCTGGACCAAAAAGATTTTCACAATTATATTAGTTAATGCTTTTCATAATCTAGAATTACAGCCTTGTTATATTTTTGAGATTGAACAAAAAACAAGATAGTAATATTTGAGTTTCCATGTTCATCAGCATTCTGAAACAGAACATTAGAAATATCACCCAAGATTAAATTCATAAACCATTCCATTTTTAATTGCATTTATTAATTTATGTAGCATGTATTCAAGCCTCTATGTATTCATTTACTTTAATTTGAAATAATAGAAATTATATTGACTTATTAAGTATTATGTTGTATATTAGTCCATTCATATTTCTACTGAATAAAAGAAAAACATTTTATGCATGTTGGGCAAGCCATGTTTGAGTTTTTTAGATTTCCAATTCCCAAACACAGACTTTCTCAGGAAGGATTATTCATGACCATGTGTCATGCATGCTCTAGTCTAAGAACTCTATTTCCCTATGATAATCATCATCACACATTATTATTTCTACCTCAAGTTATTTAGCAAGGCAATTATTATAATTCATATCCATTCAAAAGAATTTAAAATTAAACTGTAGTAATTTCAAGACTTCTTTGATGACATTTTTAGTAGCAAAGAAAACAGATCTCAAATAATTTTTTACTAATAAAAATGTTAAGATTTTTTTTTTTTTAGTATTATAGAATTCTGGAGCAACAAGGTGCTCTGAAGTCCATCTAGCTCATTTCTACTCCAGATTATTAATTGTTAAATCTTTTCTTATGTGAGCAGGTTTGGCCTATGGTTTAATTTTCCAGTGACAGGGAACAATTTCTTAAACAGCTCATAACATGGTTGATAGGGAGGTCTGAGAGCTGAGAAGTACTTTCTCATATGGAGCCAACATGTACTTCAGTAACTCTGATACAATGTCTGGGTTCTGTAGTTCAGGACTTTATCCATTCTATATGCCCTAATCAACTTAATATATAGTACTCAAACAGCCCACAACAGAACTCACACAAATGCAGAGGCTCCATCAGACTTCATGATGCATGCTAATAGCATTATGTTTTAGACTACCCTAAGGCTTTATACATACATTTTTATTTTATTCTTCCTTTAATTTATTAGAACAATGTGACATCAATATTATGGAATTCACTATTTATACTATTTCACTCTATACTGTTTTTGCAATGTTTCTCTTTTAAAACAGCTCTTTTCAATCAGTGAAAGGTTAATGTGAGTGTCCTTTTATTTTACAGTCTAGTTGTTTTGCCATATTACTAAATAAAGGCAATGGTTCCATAAACAATGATTCTCTATATTACCTAAATGAAATCCAAGAGTTATGAATAATAAAGCAATGGAAACAGATTACCACACAGCAGAAAAATGCTCTTTCCCATAAAAGTTTTAGTTCAGTGTAATTTCATGCTGAGGAAAACGGAACTTTTTTTTAAAGCCCTCTTTTATCTTTGATTCCCACAAAGGTGCTGTTGTGTGAAAACTTGGCTTCTGGTTTTACACACATCTTGTTTCTTTTACAAATGCTTCCTCACATCAAAACCCCTGTCTGAGTGCCCAAGTTCTTGCTTCAATCACTGTGTTCTAGAGGTGAGCAGGCAGTGAAGATTTCTAATTAATCTGTCAACTCTATGGACAAAGGATTTTTAAAGAAAGTGGCACTTGTCATCCCAGAGACATAAATGGATATTCATATGTCCTTCCTTTTTTGTTTGATCTGAACCTCACAGAGGGATGGTGACTCGATGCTCTTTCCAGAGCCCTGAAGGCTGCTGTGCTGTGCAACTCACCTCTTTCCTCCTGTCTTTGTCTTTCTGTAACAGCCACTTGACAGATGCCTGTGGAGTCTTGGGAGTACACTCAAGGAAAGTGGTGTTATTTTTTACGCCATACTGAACAATTTCAGCTGCATTTCTATATGCTGAAATGCAAAAGTGAGAGGAGAGAGGGAGAAAGAATGGATTTGAGAGTATATTCCCCTATATGAATATTTACTTCTCTATAAAATTATGCTTTATTATAGTGACCCCAAAAGACTGTTAATCATTTAATAGGCAGACTGGTTTTTTTTAATTAAGGTGTCATTGATATACAATCTTAGGAAGGTTTCACATGAGCAGCATTGTGGTTTCAACATTCACCCACTAATAGGCAGACTATTAAACATTGTTTACCTGTTTTGTGTAATCTATAGGGAAAGAGAAAGATACAGAGAATCTATGCTTATTCAAGAACTACTCTACACAAGGAATGTCCTTATTATCAGTTTGAACATTTAATTATTACAAAATCCTTGTGAATTGGGTTTTTGCAGCTCTTATAGCTGAGCAAACAGGCTGTGAGTTTATGAGGAAACATACTGTAGTTAGAGAGTTAGCAGGTGACAGCCAATATCGAAGCAAGGTTCATCCCACCCTTGAATACCATACTCAGTGTAGCATAGATGAAATTCAAAAGCATGAGGAAGAGGCAGAAAGCAAGGCATGGCTGCAGTGGGAAGCAGCGGTTGAGAACACAATCTTTAGAATCAGAGGTTTCTGAGGTAAAATGCTGACTACCCCAATACTGGCTGTGTAATCTTAGACAAGTTACTTCACCTCTCTGTGCCTCAGTTTTATCTGGCTATTAAACATGGATTATAATGTTTTCTAACAGGTTCTTTACTTCTTAAATTAGGATGAGCATTTAGTATAATCATGTGGTAGTATGGACATGGACAGAATCCTCATTCAGAGGTGGGCATAATCATATACCTTATTCTGGTAGAGTTTCTTGAGCATCAAGTGAGATAATCCATGAAAAACCACTTAGCTCAGACACAAAGTCAACATGAATGTATGTTCATCATCACGTCCACTCCCAGTACTCCTACCACTATGATTAGTACTATTTGTAGAACCGACACACATTTATAAAATAATCAGTAAAAAGAGAAATAGTAACCTGGACTTACTCCCTGAATTAGCTGTATGGAACAACTAAAAAAATGTGACTTAATTTGCTCCTTGCAGGGAGTTAGTTAGTAACAAGAATGTCATTCTTGGCCTAAAGAAAAGCCCACTCAGAAGGGTCAGCAAGAGGGGCCCAGAGTTCACTGTCAACAGCACTCCGGAGCTCTCTGGAGGGCCGGGAGGGAGGTCTGCCTGGGGATGCCTTGCTGACGGGCCGGGGTGGGACTGCAGGGGATCAATGGGGAAAGCATAATGACATGGGATCTCCACATCAGAATGGGAAGAAACAGATTAGATTAACTGTAAAACACAAGGTAGGATTGTCAGAAGTCAATGAAATGGGTATAAATTGAAAAACCAAGACACTGTAGTACTCCCATGTTCAGACCAGGATTCTTCACAATTGCCAAAAGGTGGGAGCTGCCCAAGTGTCCCGAGATGGATAATAAATAAACAAAATGTGACATACACATACAATGGAATAGTTTACTGACTTCAACAGAAAAGAACATGTTACAACATGAATGAAACCTGAAGACATTGTGCTAAGTGAAATAAACCAGTTACAAAAGGACAAATACTGCATGATTCCATTTATATGAGGCACCCAGAATAGTCAAATTCATAGGAACAGAAAGTAAAATGATGGTTCGGGAAAGTGGACTAGGGAGTTAATATTTAATGGATATGTGGATGTACTATGTACTTAATGCCACGGAACTGCACATGTTAAAATGGTACATTTTATGTTATGTATATTTACCACAATAAACAAACAAGGTGTTATTCAATTTGTTCTTTAGTGGTAAATAAAAAGAAAATCAAGCTTTTTTCTTCTGAAAGAAAATAATAGCTAAGAAAATCTATTATCACCTATGTGAAAGACCTACTCATTTACATACCTAAGGTATCTGTCTTCCTGGACATTTGTTTTTCTTAGCATAAATATAAATAACACATAAAAATAAAACAGCATAAAAATAAATAAATATTTTCTAATTTCCATATGTGACTACCAAGAATTTTTATAGCAAATCTTTATTTAAAATGAGAGACTTGAATTTATTACAAGGATCCCCTTACTGAAATGTGATATGGCACATTGCCACTCTTTAGCAAGTTTGACTATTGCTTATATTTAATACCTTTTAAATTAAATCCTCTGCATTGAGTCAATGGATTTCCATGTCTCACGTCTTGTCTTCGGCTTCTCCTGTAAGTACAGAAACATATAAAACTGATTTAGAATTATCATTGCCATTTGCACCACATTTATAAGATTTCACTTTTAATTTCACAATCTTTTGATTGCCTAAGCTTTCATAGAGAAAGGAAGTTTGGTTATCTGACACAACTATTTGACATTTCTTGCTCAATCCTTCAATGATAGGGTGAGTACTTAATCTTGTTTTCAATCTGAATTAATTCAGCCTCTCCCCATACTACTTATGATAGAATGCCTATGAAAATCCTACTATGTGCATTTATAGGTAAATGTTAGATTCCAAATTAATGCTATAAACTTTTAGAGACATTCATCCAAAATTTTCTAAGATGACATGCTCCAAAGTAAAAACTCAGTGCATCTTGCTGTAAATTTTTTCTTAAGTAAATATACTTTTATTACAAAAGTCAACATTTTCTAACAGTTTCCAGATATATTAAAACTTTTCTGAAACAAAAGAGAGAGAGAACATGGGCATTCAATATAAAGTTAAGCAAACTGCTCATTTACTAGAGTAAGCATTTTCCTTCAACTTTTTATTTTGAAAAATGTCAAGTCTACAGAAAAGTGGATGAGTAAAATGAATATTGGCATGCTTACATTCATTAATTGTTTTGTCATATTTGCTTTTTCTCTCATATGCAAGTGTAATCATGTATGTACTGTGTATGCACACATATGGGAATATTTAGAAAATAAGGTACAGACATGAAAATGCTTCATTTTATATACTTTAGTATGTATCTTCTAAGAATAATTTCCATAAGTAACTATTATCATTGTACTAAAGACACTAATATTTATTTAATATCATTTAATAAACATTTTATATCAAAATTTCCCTAATCATCCCCAAAATATACTTAAAAATAAACTTTTTAAAGTTTATTCAGGATCTAATCAAAGTGTATTCATTGCTTTTAGTTGTTATGTATCATCAGTTTAAGCTTTAAAACAATTTAGTACATTCTTCATAAACTGGTCATTATTTAAACAAGAGTTTTTAATTATTTGAATACTAATTATTTAATTTCCTGAGTTTTGAATTCACTTATATAACATAATGAAATAAATCAAAATAGAGCAACTGAAATTCTCTTTACAATGAATTGTGGTTATGAAGATTGCTGTAAGAGTGAAGAAAGAATACTCTCAAGTACTGGAAGTTTGGGGCTAAAATGATTGTTACCATCAATGCTGACAAGTGATGTGAATAAGCATATCACTTAATTTAGCTAGTTGTTAAGTCTCTCAGTATTTTTACCCTTAAAGATAAATTAAACTATTTAGTAAGAAGAACAGAAATATTAAAACCACACAGGGATTGTCAGATTTACAAAGCAAAACTAATCTCAAAGTAATTGATAATGAAAAAATCATTTTAAGGTGACAGCATATAGTTAATAGTTTATGTACCCAATGGATTATATATATCTATTTATGCAAATAAAGGTAAAAGATTTTGTGTCATGTAAATATTTTTTCCCAAAAGGCTCACATGAACCCTATTCTTTCATACATTTCTATACAACAACACTCACACAAATGGAAATCATTCTTGTCTCAGGAAATACAATTAATATAGTGTTCTACATTAGGTTTATCTCTGACATCAGGTTTTACTGCATTGCATTTGTTATGTTTTGAAGTCACAGCTTTATTTACTACCAGGCAAACTGTGAGTGCATATTGTGTGAGTACCATGTAAGAGCTCATGTGGCTGCACTGGTAATGTTCAGTCCTCTTAGAGAAGCATCATCATTCAAGCTGGTTAAATTTATTGTCTTGTGACCAGCACTGTGTTATGGCTTACTAATGTACTTGAACCTTCAAGCTCAGAAATCTGAATTTACAGTGTGACATAGCTGCCAGACATTCAAATACAAAAAAAAAAAACCATTATTACGGCTTGGCTTAAGTGATGAGAACAGCAAGACAGTCATCTGAGCCTTTTGTATGTGGAGATTCCCCTTAAGGCATTCATATAGCATCCCAAAAGCATGCTGGGAGGCAGAGTAATATTACATTGCATGTAAGATTTGGGATTTGGCTCAAGCTGCCAATGTTTCTTCTATTACAGTCTATTCTTTTAGATAAACAATGAAATCATTTTCTTCTTGTATAGAAAACAGATATTTACTTTAAGATTGAACTGATTATCTTGTCTTAAAATAAAATTTCTAACTACATGCTTGAATCCAGACTAAATAACACTTGAGACTAAATTGCAATATTTGATACAAATATTTAAATACTTGAGGGTAAAAAGGAAAAAAATGCTTATATTGTTTACTATAAAAAAACTTTTAAAAAGAGAAACTACTGAGTCAGTGATATTTAATAACTTTATTATGTCAAAGTATGGACTCCATTGATTTCCAAGCATAACTGTACTTGTCTGTTTCTATACAAAAGACATGTTTTGTTTTGCATTCCAATGAATTCCTCTATACGATCTTAGTGTTCTGTATAGATTGTGCAATTGGAATAAAACTAGGTAAGTTTACACTACTATAGAAAAAGAATGTGGAAAATATGCCAAATGATCATTCTTAGATTTTAACCACTGAAGAAATTAAATATTCCACATAGCAATTTAGGAGATAGTTAATCCATTCAGCAAACAAGTTCTGCACTCACTATAAGTATATGCATAAATAACTTTGGGCATAATTTGGAGAATTTAAATATTGTAGATATTTTTAATGAAACTTCCAGTATGCAAGCCAAAGATGGGTATGGGTAAGCCAATGAATAATGTTTATTAATAATTATATAGCTATACAAACTAATTAATAATAAAAACTATATTAATAACATATTTTTTGCTTTTTATGTTTTTTGTAATAGATTAAGATAGAGCTCATCAAGTTAGCTCTTTAAATGATTACTACTTTCTTTTTCAACCCATGATAAATTTTTTTTCCTGTTTGTACTTTTTAAAACTGAGGTTTAATTGACATATAATATTATGTTATTTCTAGGTGTACACCATAATGATTCAATATTTGATATATTGTGAAATGATCACCACAATAACTCTAGTTAACCTTTGTCATCATATAGTTACAAAAATTATTTTCCTTATTATAATAGGAACTTAAGATCAATTCTCTCAGCAACTTTCAAATATGCAATATATTAATATGAATTATAGTCACCATTCTGTACATTACATCCCTGCCGGAGTCCAGCGCCAGCCAAGGTGTGGGTCATGAAGGAAAGGACAGTGTCGGTGAGTGAGGAGATGAATGAGGAGAGGAAACACCTGATCAAGGTTGTAATATCTCCTGACATCAAGCGGCAGGGTTTTTATTTTTGTATCTTTTTAAGGTTTACATAATGTTACACATTTTCTTTGATCATGGATGGTACAATGTTTTTTCCTTTCAGTTTTTGTATAATTCTGGCTCATTACAGATGTTATCATTTTTTTGAACAGCTTTCTTGTAACACTAATGTTTAACTTTCCTTTAACCTTTTTGGCCAGAGATGTAGGTTACATACTAGGTGCTAGACAGGAAATGGCGTAAGACAGCGTGTGGGCTAAGCATGTGGGCTATGATTTTTACTTTAAGCATGTGAGATTATATAGAGTTTAAGATATGTGTCTAAGGCTATATAAAGTTTAAGCAGGTTATATAAAATGCAAGCTATATGTCTTTTGGCTATTAAGTGTAATGCTATATTATTAATTAAATTCTATCCTACACATGTGGGTTTAGGTTTATATCTAAAGTCTAGGGATGGTACTCCAATCACCCATAAGTTTTGACATCCCTCAACATTTCTACAAATACAATAAAAACACCTTATTCTTTCATGATATTCATTCTACAATTTCAGATGTTTACACCTTTCCTCCTGCATCTACAGGCACTACGGCCTTGCAGTCCTCTTTGTCTTTTATATAATAATAACACTAAATCTGCTCTTAGTACCTTACTATTAATATAATAATATTTTGTCATAAATTTATTATAAACTTCTATATATGGGATATTTATAAATATTTATAAATGTAAGTCTTCCTATTTTGCTCATAATTTATATCTTTAAGTGGGATACTCTTTTCATATTATAAGCAACATAAAAGGGGGCTGTGGGCAGTGGGGACTATTCATCTTTTATTACTCTGCTGTTTTATATAAGTTTCTTGGGAGAATGGGTCTTTCTATGGGGGTTTTTCTATGGCCCAGTTTCCCATAACTCCTGGTTAATCATTTTTCAATTGTTAACAAAAGGAGGAACAAACTGCATCTAGTTTTGAGAGGTCTGGATTGTTCTGCCTCACTTATCTGTGGCAATATGCCTGGAACAGCTGGTCTCATAACACTACTTTCATTTCTGGAATTGCTGCTTTGATCAGTATTTTGAGTTAGGTTATTTACTAAAGATGAATAAATCTTAAGTACATAAGATTTCCCATATATGAGCCCAATCACCAACATTATAACTGCAAAAATAAGTGCGGGAATTAGCAGGGGCCAGCCATGAGGTTTCCTGTTTTCAGGATTCCTCCTCATGCCTGGACCTTGTCAAACAGCATGAGCAGCATGGCCCGTGCCACATCCCCATGACTTAATTTTAAAATAGGAAATTTAGACCCTTTGACCTCTTTGCCCATTTCTCCCATCCCTGCACCTCTGCCTCTGGCAACCACTATCTGTTCTCTGTATCTGTGAGCTTTGTTGTTGCTACTGCTGCTTAGAAAATTTCACATAAAGTGAGATCACACAGTGTTTGTCTGACTTATTTCCCTTAGCCTTCAACGTCTATTTATGTTGTCACAAATGATAAGACTTCATTCTTTTTTATGGCTGAATAGTATTCCAGGTGTGAGAGTGTGTGTGTCTGTGTGTATCACATCTTTATTCAATCATCTATGGATGGACACTTAGGTTGTTTCCATGTCTTGGCTACTGAAAATAATGCTGCAAAGAACATGGGGTGCCTATATCTTTTTTGAATTTTGTTTTATTCAGATAAATAACCAAAAGTGGAATTGCTTGGTCATATGGTAATTCTATTTTTAATTTTTTGAGGAGACTCCATACTGATTTCCCTAGTGGGGGCACCAATTTACATTCCCATCAACAGTGCCCAAGGGTTCCCTTTTCTCCACATCCTTGCCAACACTTGTTATTTCTTGTCTGTTTTGATAATAGTGCTTTTAACAGGTGTGAGGTGGTATTTCATTGTGCTTTTTTATTGCATTTTCCTGATGACTAGTGATGTTGAGCATCTTTTCATGCACCTGTTACCACCTGTATGCCTCCTTTGGAAAAATGTCTATTCACTCTTCTGCCCAATTTTTAATCATATTTTTTTTCTTTTTTTGCTATTGAGTAGTATGAGTTATTTTTATATTTGGATATTAACCACTTATCAGATATATTATTTGTAAACATATTCTCCAATTCAGTAGATTGCCTTCTCATTTTGTTGATGGTTTCCTTTGCTGTGCAGGAGCCTTTTAGTCTGATGTAGTTCCACTAGTTTATTTTTGCTTTTGCTGCCTTTTCTTTTGGAGTCAGATCCAAAAATTCATCAGCAAGACTAATATCAAGGAGCTTACCACCTATGTGTTTTCTTTTAGGATTTTTATCCTTTCAGGTCTTACATTAAAGTCTTTAATCCATTTTGAGTTAATTTTTGTATATGGTGTAAGACAGTGATCCAGTTTCATTCCTTTGCATATGGCTATCGAGTTTTCCCAACATCTTTTATTGAAGAGGCTGTCCTTTCCTCATTGTATATTCTTGGCTCCTTTGTTGCAAATTAATTGACCATGTATCTGTGGGTTTATTTCCTGGGTTCTCTATTTTGTTCCATTGATCATGTGTCTGTTTTTATGCCAATATCATACTGTTTTGGTTACCAAAGCCTTGTAATATAGCTTGAAGTCAGAGAGCATGATGATTTCAGCTTTGTTCTTCTTTCTCAAGATTGCCTTGGCGTTTAAGAGTCTTTTGTAGTTCCATACAAATTTTAGGATTGTTTGTTCTACTTCAGTGAAAAATGCCATTGGAATTTTGGTAGGGGTTGCATTGAATATGTATATTGCTTTGGGTACTAAAGACATTTTAACAGTATTCATTCTTCCACTCCAGGAGCACAGAATATCTTTACATTTATTTGTGTCTTCCTCAATTTTTTTCATCAGTGTTTTACAGTTTTCAGTATGCAGGTCTTCATGAAACTCCTTCATTAACTTCATTCTTAGCTTTTTTATTATTTTTGATACAATTTTATATGGGATTTTTTTGTTAAATTCTCTTTCTGTTATTTCATTATTAATAAAGAAATGCAACAGATTTTTGTGTATTGATTTTGTATCCCACAATTTTACTGAATTCATTTATTAGTTCTAACAGTAAAGTCATGATACATGGTTTAAGAGCATGATACTGTAACATTAAAGAATTACAAGACAGTTTCAGCTCTTTATTACAGAGACATGAGTAAGATCATGATTTGTGGCATTAAGATGACAATGTAGCACCCACATTTTAATATATACCTTAGAAAGAATAACTGGGGTTATAAGAGGTGGGAGAATATAAGAACAAGTGAGTCGACTGATATTGCAGTGGAAACATCTAAAATTAAAAAAATTTTTCAAATACGCAATGAGAGTCTATATATAGTAAGGAATTTTACTTGAGAAATAATCTTTGTTTGTTAAATAAAAATGCTTGTTGGCCAAAGCCAAGGCCTGAAAGTTTTGCAGGGAAGGAGTACTAATCTTCAATTCTTTCATCTTGTAGAAGAGGATGGTATGCCTATAGAACAATGGGAAGATTCACTCTGTGGTCTCCACATCCTTTTTTTCTTAGAAACTGCAGTGTGCTAGTTTCCTTCAGTACTAAATCTGTGTAGTAGATTGAAGATTCTATTCCAGGTATTAGAGATACCAACTTTTAGAGCTGTTTACCAAGAAAAAACTATTGACTTACAAACAGTGACGGTAACAATTTTTAAATATCACTGTTTTCATAACTGGGAGTGCAAAACAAGTATGGTTGACAGTACCAACCATGGACACAAAAATCACTTTATTTGAGATTAAATTTGGAATTTGCTCCTCTCACACTTTGTGTCCTGGTTCAGACCTCCAACCTATGCAGACAGAAGATCTCAGGGTAATGAGGTCTAGCAATTCTATGTAGAAATCAAAAGAGGCCACAGAACTCCTGACTGAATCTTAACATGGCATGGAGAATATGGATCATTCAACAAAGATACTGAAGACTCTTTGTTCCAAGACTGGGAATTCTTTTCATATGTCATGCCTTCAAGTACAGAAGACTTTCAAATTATCCAGTCCAGGCCACTCCTTTCTATTCCAGATTCCTATCTCTGCCTACTCAACATCTTTACTTGAGTACTTCATAGGCGTAATAGACTTAATGTCATCTTTCTCCGCACACACTTGCTCCTTCCATAGTCTTCCGTTTCTCAGGAAATGACATCTACATGTTTCCAATGCTCATTTCCAGTGGTTCATTATATATGGGATTTTAACATCCCATATATAATACATCAGCAGAATCATACCACTTTTCTTTCACCACCTCTGGCTCTATTATTCCTGTGCAAGCAACCACTATATCTCACCTGGATCATTACAGAACCAAACTGTCTTCTATCTCCTCTACCTCCATCCTCTTCCTACCCCAGAGCTGTGATTCCAGCAATGTAACCAAATGATATTTTTAGACCAAAAGTCAAACGGTGTCACTCATGTGCTCACAAACTGTCAGCAGTTTTCCATTTCACTCTAAATAAAAGCCCTTCAGTGACTTACTGAGTCCTATATCATCTGGCATTCTGACCTCATTTCTTCCTACCCTCCCTTTCTCTCATTCCAGGATAGCCCATTAGTCTTGGTGCTGTTTTTTGAATCATCCTGGCACGCTCCAGCTTTAAGGATTTCTGGTCCCATTCTCTGGAATGCCATTCTTCCACATAAGGCCTTGGTGACATTTCTTATCACATTCAAGTTCTTGTTCAAATATCATACCCTCAGTAAGGCCTCCCCTGACCAATCATTTAACATGGCCCCCCCTGCTTCCCACGTCCCCTAACTCCTTTGTTTACCCATTTAAGTGTACAGACCTTACCACTATTTGATATACTAGCAGGTTTAAGGAAATCCTTAACCTTTTTGTTTGCTTATTGTCTGTTTTCCCCTCTAGAATTTATTATCCCTCAAGGCAGGGATTTTTATCTTGCTTTTCATGTTATACGCCTATCTTTAGAACATTGTCTGGCAAATAATGGTCCCATGATACAAATTTGCTGAAGTAATAGATAAAAGATCAGAATAATCTTGATATGCAGAGGTGCAACGGTCATTTTAATATGCCTAGGAGCTTAAAAGCCTGAATCTATAATAGAGATAAAGGAGCTATAAAACACCATCACACCAGTGATTTTACTTGAAAAATCACTGGTTGTTATGGCTGGTCCAATTTGCTCTCTCCTGATGATCATAATTTTTATAGGTTTTGGCTCTGTCATCAATCATGATCCATATCTAGGTATTACTGAAAAGAGCTGTGACCTTGGCTGGCCTATATTCTGCATACTCTTTGTTTTACAATCAATCTCAGTACTGGTGGTCCCTTCCATCTTGGTGCAAAATGGTTCAGGGTTCCCCACCTAAGTTTTTCCTTGGATAAAAGTCACCCTGCCTCAGGCTGCCTTCCTCTCTTCATATAATCAGCAGTCATGCACTCACCATTCTAAGGAGTAAAGCACGGCCATATGGGAAAGTTTGAAAGCAACACAGGGTCTCCATCCTGGAGCAATGTTCCTGTTGCCTCAAGGACATACATTTAATCATAGGAGAATTAGTGGTACAGGGGAACCCTAAGAAGGTGGGATTGATGATACACCAAAGCATATAAAACAAAAAAGATAAAAATTAGGTAATGTAAAAAATGTAGAGTCCTTCCTGAATTCTTTGATGGCTTGCAGGTGGGGCACTGTGTTGCAGAGAGGTTTCAAATGCGAAAGGAATTTTTCCAAAGTTCTGTCCTCTAATTAACATATCCTTGAGAATCCCAAGTTATAAAGCATGGCCATTTTCTCCAAAGACCATATGCAGTGCTAACCACAGTCAGTATCCGAGTGCCATTTTTAAGGAATACTGCAATAGAACTGATTCTCATGATGGAGAACACTGCTCAGTAGTCTGGTGACATCAATTTTTATTTTCAGCTGAATGATTAGTACTCACCGCTTCCCAGTTGGGTAGAACCTAGAGCAAGAATGGCCATCCCAGGCACAGTAAGGGTCCCTTGCCAGGCAGCAGTCAGCACAGGCTGTGCCGTAGATGTGGCAGCGATGCAGAGAGACTTGGGAAACCCCTTCGTTGGAGCTCACGTACAACTGTTGCTATTAGAGGAATGATGATTTATTTCAGATGTGGAAGTTAAAAGAGGACTTTCAGCAGAAACACATTTTAAAATATGCCCAGAAATCCTTGGATTCATTTTGAAATAGACTAAAAACTAGAAGCAGAGTATAGGAGGGTGTAAAGCCAAAATAAATAGAATTTTCCTATGTTAATATGCCTATAACATTACCACTTTCCTGTTTCAAAAAATAAAAAATTTTCAGAGCACCATGTAGAATGGTAATGTGTTTTAAACATTGGGATTCATTGTTCTCTCAGATTTGAGCTATTATATTACAGACTTAAATTATGATGTTTGCTCTTTTCTTTGAATGCTGTCTCTTAGCAAAGCACAAGGCAGCTTTCTTACTCTTCAAGTCTGGCAAACCACCTTATAAATTTGAAAAAGTCAAGTCTAAAATAGAGGGCATTTTTAAGTCTGGAAAAAAAAATTAGATTGTAATATTAGATAAAACTAAAAAAAGAAATTTTAAAATTATTTAGAAGAACGTAAGCATTGATATTTAGATATATCTTAAACTTGCTGTATAATCCAGTGAAATTCAGCATGCTAACTAAATCATAAATAAAAATTTCATTCTCCTTCATTGTAGGGTGTAAAATTTCTTAAGATACTTCCTTTAGCTGTGCATAAAATGGTTCTCAGGAGTCGAAGGGATAAGTTTCTAATCAACACTCCTTATTTAACAAAGAACAGATATTACATAATTAAAGTTAGCATAAAATCTCTAAACTGGAACTTTAATACATGCACATGCACAATTCTATATATATTCATATATACATATATACACAATTTAAAATTAAATCAACAGAGCACCATTGGTCCACCGCAAGGCCACATTTGGGATTCAAATCCCAGATTAATTACAAATTTGCTGTGCAAATGTTCTCAATCTCAGCTTCCTCCTCACTAAAATTGAGATTAAATAGCATCTATCCAAAAGAGTTTTTGTAAGAACTAAATGTAGGGGCTAATTCCACATAAAATGCTTATAATAGTTTCTGGCTCCTCAGTGCTCAATAAGTATTAAATAAGTAGTAGTAGTAAATTATCAATTAGCAAACTATCAATTTATGTTTTTCCACTCTAATCATTTGAATCATCTCACTGTATTTGTCTAATGTAAAATAATTATTTTATTCAGATCTATTAATTTTTCAGAAATTGAGCTGAAAATGATCTCCAGTTGAACACTGAAACTATAAGAAGACAATGCATGTTTTGAGAATAATCATTTCTCTAGAAACATTTAAAATGTTTATTGAATACATTAATGAATAATAGAGTGAGTGCATCATTTCTTCAAAATATTTTAAGGACTGGTTTATTTGAGGAAATGATACAGGTAGCTTCACAATTTCATTCTAGAAATTTTCTTTTTTACTCATCCAACTATTTCTGCTATATGGATAACAAGAATAAGAGAATAAAAGAGCATATAATGGAAAATAAAATAGTGTGAGCACTAGTGAATGTACTAAATTCATGGTATTTAAATATATTTAAAATACCATTGGCAATCTGTAGTTCTTTCACACTGAAAAAATAATGAAGTATGCAGTTATGCAAATGAATTCCCCCAAGTCAAACAATTACCCTGCCCACTCTGATTTAATAAAACATTTTTAAATTACTTAAAATATAAGGTGTTGAAGACAGATTTAATACTCAGTTTCTCCTGGTGTGTGTCAATATATTGCAATTTAATGGAAGGGATTATGAACTACAAATTTTAAGCTGAATTGGTAGCTGAAGCCTATAATTGTGTAATGCACTGCTACGCCACACAAATGGTTTTGTGTTCATTTTGAATTTTACTCTGCTACTTTCTCTTTCCATTAAGCTACTGTAAACAAAGGGCTTCCCTGCTGACTTCAAAGACAATTCTGACTTGGGATCAGTTCCCCAGGACATTGGCGAGAATGATGAATGCCTTTTTGTTACTTGGAAAAATGTTTGTTATGCAGCATACAAACATTTTTACAGATGAGATTTTTAGTTTCCTTGTACCCTATTTATTTTTCTTCATAAAATGTAGTCAAGTGAAAAGAGTACAAGACTGACTGTGGAATACTTCATCTGCAACAGACCAAATATGGGGAAGAACACTAAAGTTATGTCATCAGCTGTTGTAACACACAAAACCTTTATTCCATATTCCAAGACAAATAAGCCTTAGTTTCTTTCG